TTATTATTATTATTATTATTATTATTATTATTATTATTATTATTATTATTGTATTAGTACATGCTGTTTGCACCTTCTAGGTGGTACCTCCTTTGGCATCAGAATTATCAAGGGCACAAGGACACACATGGCTGAGCAGACTATTAATGTGAGCACATTTTGTTCTCTGGGGTCTATCCTGGAGTCAAATTACCAACAAATATTGATTAGTAATGGGCTATCTCACATTTTAACTATAAGAGAGATACCATACTGCCAATTCTAAATTCATGGGGGTGAATTAACAAGATTGATGGGAGAGGAGAGCACAATAATGTCAATTTGAAGAAAAAAAGTATTATGGGACACATTGATTAACCAGCTGAGTCAATCAATTACAAGAAATTAGATACCAGTGTGTATGATTGATTAACCAACTGAGTTAATCAGTTATAAGGAACAAAATACATGTATGCATGATAGAACCAATTCTGTACCTTATAATCCTTTCTTATCTTTATTGTAATGTTGACTGTTGTCTTAGCTGTTCAAACATGGAGAAGAAGGAAACTAACACATTTATCAACTTTGTACATTTGATCATAAAACCATAGGAATATTGACAATTTACTTAACTCTATGCACTCATCACCGTAATCACGAAACTCTCTCTGAGCTTCAGATCAGACTGTTCAGCTCATCATGTTTATCTGGATGAAAGGAGCTTTGCGACTGACAAAATTGCCTGGGTATTCTTCACAAGAGCCTGGCATGAACCTTCCTTCTTTTCAGAGAAGTCTTGTCCTCTTCATTTGTTTAATCCTATATAAAATTGGAAGTTCTTCTCTCATAAAGAGTTTTAGCTAAGGACTCGACCCTTTTTGTAAAATATATTTTAGATTTACACTTGCATCAGACCTTCCTCTGTAATTCACACAGATAAAGATAAGTTTTGAAAAACAACCTGTAATTTTGCCTATTTTGAAAATTTGACAGGGTGTTCAGGTACAGCTATTTGAGTTCACGAGCACAACAGTTGAAATCTGAGGTACATTGGTTTGCACACTATCCATTTTGGTAGCAGAGTTTAATTTCTGCAGGATATACAGTATTGTCTTTAACAATACCAAAAAAAGGGGCAGATTTCATCAAGATCACATCTTTCCAATTTATTTGTGTACAGCTGTGCCAAGATCCAATCTGCCAGCCCTGCATTAGACAGAACAGAAATGGAAAGTAAAAAGTCATTTTGTTGGACAATTCATGTAATGCAATGAGTGTGCAGTCTTTGATCAGTGCCAAACAAACTAGAGATCAGGGTGACACAGGACCAAAGCAGAGCAAGAACACCTTGACCTTCTGTCAAATGAAAGGAAAATGTATCCTAAGTAGCCACATGCCTTAGCATCACAGTGGACCCTTTTTGAAGACTAATAATGTTTTAACAGAACTATAATGACAGTGTCTCTTTAAAATTTGCAAACCACACTGACTAATGCACAGAAATAGCCTGTTGCCAAGGAGCTATGTGTCTTCCTGCTGTTTGAAAGGTAAGAGGGCTTCTTTGTGATGTCAAGTGATGTGGCAGAGAGGAAGAGAGTTAGACAGGAGGCTGGGTTTTCAGAGGTCTTTCCACTTTGACGGTGTTGGGGTCACACTCCAACATTTCTCGTATCCATTCGTCGTCTAATGCTCCTTCGATGAACTCTTCAAGGCTGATAACGGCTGAAGGGAGAGAAAAAAGAGAGAGAGGGGTGACTTTTTTGTCAGCTGCTTTGTCGCGGACAAAACTTCACACACTCTTGCGAACAAAAACATGTTCTGCAGACTTCCATTCTTCTCACAGTGCAATTTGTGTGAAGTTAATTTTCATTCATACTTTTATACTTTCTTTGAGGACCAATGTGATGCACACATTATTTCCTGTAGTTCAGGTGACATTGTAAAGGGAAGATGAGGTGTTCTGTCCATCATTGTAGGTTTGATAATGATTATTCATTATCCCTTTTTAAGCAAAAAAAAAAACAGCTTTAAAAGCTGTCTTTGACCGTAGGAGCAGTTCCTCGGAAACTATGTAGACAGCCCTCATAAATGGTCAAAACCTTCCAAAAGATAAATGTGCTCTAGAACTTATTCATTAATTTTCCAACAGTACATAAAGACAGCAGCAAAGCCCATTCATGCACACTATTCACCAAGCATGTTCTGGCATCAGAAAATTAGATTTTTATAGAGATTAGTTTCTATAGTGAACTGGAGCATTTCTATAAAAAGCTTTAGGTTGTTTTCGTAAGACCAGTGTACTTTCATTATTCGGTGTTTCTGTGCACACAAAGGAACAAGGAGACAAGAATTAATCACGTACTGCAAAGGGCAAGTATAGAACGTTCCTGCCAAGCACTAAGCCTTGATTACAGCTGATTAAAACAGTTCTGCCTGTCAAGGACTGCCGAGTCTTCGCTTTGTTTATGAGGGTAAGACATAATCTCATGCAGACACTGATGGCCATTCTTACCGATGTGTTACGTCCAACCATATGCAATATGCGGTAGCTAAAATACACAAGGTGGTGAACATGGTTGACGATTCGGAATGCATTGGGAGCCACTGACTTCCAGTGAAATCTGTGACCTACTGCACTGCACAGTCTAGCTCCTCTCGATGCAAAGGAACCAGCAGCAACACTGCTTATTCAGCCCACAGGGCAGTGTCAAGTGGGGAGTGGAACACTGAGCACTGACCTTTAGGTCAAATTCAGTTCAGTCCAGAAGAATTCAGGGAAATATTAAGATCTGTGATTGTCAACACCATAGTTTATTTATATCGCTGTGTGCAAAGAGTAGGAAGGTAAGGTAAGAATTATAATTCTTCAGAGCGCTGTTACCAACAACCTTAACAGATCTAGGCAGCTGCGATAGCCAGGCAGGTTTAGTAATGTCCAATATGTTTCTGGGTGATCAGAAAACAATCCAAACCTCTGTGTGTGTGTGTGTGTGTGTGTGTGTGTGTGTGTGTGTGTGTGTGTGTGTGTGTGTGTGTGCGTGCTTTTTCTGTTTTGTTTGTTATTCTTTATTCCATTTTTTTATTATTTATTGTATTGTATTACTGTATTACTACATTTGTACTGTACTGTGTTGATTGTCCCTGGCTGCTGTAGCACTTGAATTTCCCACATGGGGTTAATAAAGTACCTACCTACCTTTTTGGGGGAGACTACAGAGACAGGGTGGGTCTCCATATATTATTACTTATATTACTAATATACTATTATTACTAATTGTTAATAAGTGAGCCCACACTGGGCTCTCTGACCCAGTCTGTAACAATTGTTGTCAGAGTCTTCACCCCTTAGCATGAAACAAGATTGTTATTATGTACCTTGAGAAGTACTAGTTTTGAGAATTAAGTTACTTGCATTTCCTAAGGGATTTTTTGATCCCAGTGAACCCCAAAGCTCTTCACGCCTCTCCCCTTTCACTGAACCTGACGCACTCGCCATTCATGACCAGCAGCCCACTCCACTTCAGATCGGGGGGAGAGGTGAGAAACAGCCTCACCAGCTGAATTAAAGGGGAGGTCAGACTGCACAAGTCCCAAGCGGGGTGGGGTTGTTTCACTCCCCACTAGACACTGTCCTGTGGGCTGAATGATCAGAATTTAGCCAGGGCCCCAGGGTTAACACAAAGCCATGGATATTTAAATTAATAATCTTATCTGAAGGCCTGTACCTGCTACATCGCTGTGTGCCTGGCCCCCAATGTTTTCAATGTTTTGAAAATTCTGGTTCATAAGGAACCAACTCCACCTCAAGTAGCAAACTGTTTTCCCTGGGAGATCTCCCTTCTCAGTACTGACCAGCCTTGCTTACCCTGTGAGATCTGACAAGAGTCTACTACAGGACGGGGACACTGCTGTCAACTGTCAATTACTTTGAAATAAATGTAGGAAATTATTGCCCTCAAACATGCATCATGTTACCATTTCTGTCTTTGTCCAGTCTCACAAAGATTCTGCTGGTGCACTCTTCTGCGGTCAGAGGGTTTGCTTTAGTCAGAGAGGCTGCTAAACTCATCTTATACACAGCCTGCAAAGAAAGTAACAGACATCAGCAACGGCAGTGATTCTCAGGAAATATGGTCATCTGGCTCTACCTAGTGGAGAAAAGCCTTAATCTAAAAACACTTATCCTGATTAAGGTCACATCAGCGTCTTTAATGCCCTTTTATTGTTATTTTACATTTTCATTGGGCAACAAAGAAACAACTTGAAAGATGTTTATCCCTTTTATTTTATTAGTTATCCCTTATTTTAGTAGTGCAATTATCACTAACAATACATGCACTAGACTTTTAAAGTGCTTTAAAAGCTGAATGTGTGTTCATTTTGTCTTTTTTATACTGTATATCACATTCCCAAGACATTGCACCATTGGAAAGCGTTGCTTTCTAGCTGTTTTTGACTAGATGTTTGAGATAAACAGAGGAAGGACAAACCTTCATGATTTCCAGCATTTCTGATCGAGTAATGGCCCCGTCCTTGTCTTTGTCATACAGCTTGAAAGACCACCTCAGCTTCTCCTCCGGGGAGCCTGTGATCAGCATGCTTATGGCCGTGACATACTCTCGGAAATCGACAATCCCGTCCTGTGACAGAACAAACTACTCAACACCACGAATAGAAAATGACAGCAATACAAAGAGATAATTACAAAACTCAGTCTAGAGTTAAAAAACACTTGTTGCTGATAATGATCACTCTGGTAAGAACTGATCAAATTTACCAATATGTACTTATGGAGGGGCACTCTGCTGTGAGGGCACTAAATTCATCTTTTCAGTGTTCGTTCTGAGTGCTTTCTAACACCACTTGATTAAAGTCATCAAATTAATTTAAGAGAAAATACATCTGGAGTAAAGGACTTAAAGGTTTTTGAACAGTGACAGTAATTCATTTATTTTAGACAGGGCCTTTAAAAGCAATCATTTTAAAGTCCACCGTAAAGCTAAGCCCTTATTTTCAAAAGCAGTTCCCAGCACACTCCAGTAACTCACCCCATTATTGTCCAGCGTCCGGAATATCTGCTCAGCGTATTCCGAGGAATCGTGGCCCACGGTTCCATTGCAAAAGTGTCTGCGGAATTCATGGAGTGTGATCAGCCCACTAGGGCACTCGTTGATGAATTTTCTGTGTAAATGAAAAAAATAAAAGAGATTTTAATGTGAATAACAAGTTAAACAGGAAATCCAACACAGCTGAAACTTTTTTGGGGGGGTGAAATTAAAGAAGCAATACTATAATGGAGGAGACCGTGGTAGTGCAAGGGTTGGCATTGCTGTTTTCCAGCACTGGGGTGCTATCTGTGGTTTCCACGTGCTCCCTGTGTTTGTGTGGGTTTCCTCCAGGTGCTCCAGTTTCCTCCCACTGTCAAAAGACATACTGGCAGGTTAACTGCTTTCTGTAAAATTTGCTCTGGTGAGAGTGTGTGTCTGTGTCTGTGTGTGCTCTGCAACAGACTCTCTCCCAGTGTGTATCCCACCTTGAGGCCTTTGTTAACCAGGTTTTTGTCCAGATTCCCGCACAACCCTTTACTAGAAAAAGTGGTTTAAAAAACGGCTGGATGGAAAAACACCTAGAGAGGAGTGTCATACCAAAGGCCCTATGTTTAATACTTTTTCAATGACTGAATGCATTCCTGTACTTTCAAGAGATGTCAGCTACTGTTTGATTAAAACTGCTGCCAGAGAGGATTTGTAAAAAGGAACCTTTAAAACAGCTGAAACAGTGGTGCTCTTAAGTGCAGATTAAGAATAACATGTTTCAGCTTCATATGAAACTGTAGCTTTACTACAGGTAAAGCTACAGGTTTCATCCAGGTGGGGCTGCACATTGGTGGTGGTGGAGGGGATCCCCATTACCTGTAAAGCGCTTTGAGTGGCGTGTCCAGAAAAGCGCTATATACAGTAAGTCTAAGCAATTATTATTATTAGGGCTCTGGCTGCCCTAATGATTGGTATCAGGACCAGGAGCACAAGAACAAATCCAAGGACAAAGAACAAGGTCAGTACAGGAACAAGGTTGGTAATGGATAGTCTTCTGTAGCCTTTATATTGTCCTCTGTCATAATTGTTGTCTTAAATGCTCATCAAGCTGTTTAATATCCTGGATAAAATAAATCTGTGCTTAAGTGTTTTTTATCTCAGCTGTTTCAACAACATGCAATTTACTTCACATAGATATGATAAATTAACAAGGGGATAATTAAATTTCAGTCCTGAACGTTCAATGGCATGTTTTTTCTGGATCAGGCCTCTGTGTTATCAGCTTAGAAAATCAAATTCAATAAATTGGAGTGGGCCATTTTAAAAAACGTAGTATGGATATTAGCCAAATGAAATGTAAAAATAATTTTGTCAAAAGGGAACAGTTCTGCTACAATTTCATTATGCTGGTAATTCTCCTACAACTTCATTAGCACTGTGTAAACAGTTATGGCAGCAGCTCTTTTTGCAGAGTGTTGGCAATTGTCTTGTAGTTCACACATCAGCAGCATTTGCAAAAAGCTTGTTTGCACACTGGGAACAGCTTTTGCAAATATTTTAAGAACTTCATATAAACTGCTAATTGCACTTAATCATCCCATTCATTATTAAAAGCTGCTTATTCCTGGTAATTACTGCAGCTACCAGAAGCTGGTCCCAGAGGCACAGGGCACAATGCAGGACTATGTGAAGATGCCAGTCCATCACAAAAAAACACACACATGCGCGGGCGCACACACACAAGCACACAATTTAGAGACACGAATTAACCGAATCAGGCATGTCTGAATGATGACAGGGAAACCAGAGCACCTGGAGAATACCCATGTTAACACTGGGAGAACATGCAAACTCCACACAGAACGTGTCTCCATCAGGAATCAAACCCAGGACCCAACAACTATGAGGCAGCAGAGCTAACTACTACACTGTCCGCCTATTTAACTTTTCAGAGCTGAAATTCACTAAAAGAAACAAGAATCGAACATACTTATCTTGTCATCTTTTATAATAACACTTCTGAAATACTATTACTTGAATGTTTAAAATGTATTAACTTTGGTTGGCTTTTCTCAATTAAAAGAAAAAAAAACATTTTATTTCCAAAACATTGCAGTTTTGGATTAATATAATTGTTGTTGTTCATAGCAAGTGAAAGTATTACACATGATCTCAATTTAAATTGAGATAAATGTAATCATTTTTACTAAAACGTTGATGGGGAAAGCATGTATTTTTAAACATCAAAGTTCCCAAAATGAAAAATAATTAAAAGCTAAAATCAGTGTTAAAGGTATCTGTACATTTGTACATTTGTTAATATTAATATCTTTTAAGACACTTGAACCACAAAGTTGTCTGATTAAATAAAACATTGTTAGCACAATTCTAATGAATTATCTGCATTCTAGATTAACAGCTTGATATAGAATAAAATATCTGTTGTTATTCTTATTAATACCTACTGATATGTTATTACTTTAAATTGGCTCTAATTAAAATGCTGCTACAAAGACTTCAGATAAAAGCTAAGACTGCAGATTGAGAATTAAATGACGTAGAATGAAGACTTAAGTGTGTAACATACAGCCATACAATCCAATATTTAGTTTTGTAATTCAGTAAAAAAAAAATGCTAACTGTACTGTAAGTCACTGCGATAAAGCTGAAATAGTTTCTGTCTACTTAAGCCTGTTTATACAAGATACAGTATTTATCTGATCTCAATCTGGAGCAGATAGAGGGAGCCAAGGCTTCAAACTAGTCTGTTAATCAAACAAAAAGCTCAACATCACTCTCTTCAAAAAGAGCAGCACACTTTTATTTTATGGATACGTAACTTGATATCAAAGGATATCAGAGTGATGCTCGATCATACAGTACCTATATTAGGATTAATTTGCATCCATGAATAAACTGAATACATATCATTTACGGTACAGCTATTAAAGGATACATGTAACATGTATGTTTGTGGATACAGTATGTGCATGTGCATATACTGTATTATTGTTTTTCTAGGATGTACTTACTAAAATATCGCAAATGTGCTTTGAATTAATTCCCATATGTTGTACAAAGATTTTTATTGAGCTCTGAATCTGTGCAACTCCTGCTTGGAGATGTGTGTTTGTTTGGCAAAATACATACAAATGCACTCATTTGCTATTTGAATTAATTTATCAGGTCAGTTATTTTTTTCCAGCTAGTAACACTGTTTTGCACTGGTCCTCTGCTTGAAGGTGCAGTTTTGTCTGTAAGTGCTGAACTAGGTTGATCTGTAACAGATTCCCATTTAATTAACATAAATTCCTTTCCCCTGAAGGTGAAGTACACTTGCCTGTTCTTTCTCAATTTCTTTTAAAAATCGATTGTCTCAGTTTTATAAAGAAATAACAACCAATGTATTTGTGGTATTCTCAGCTGAACACATATAGTCCCAATCCAAAATTACAAAGAACGTTTTCACCTGAATCTTTGATTTTTCAACCATGGTATGTTTCACAAGAGCCTCCATTTGACTTCTGAAGTAGATTCAAGGATCACATCTCTAGACAGCATTTTGAACAGCATGAAATATGACATTCCAAAGATAAATACTCACTTTATTGTGCTCTTTAGAGTTCTTCGCACTTTGAAAGCTACCTACTGTACATGAGAAAAAAAGTCACACGGCAATGCCACTAAGCAGTGATAAACCTTTGAAAACTTGTCTTAGATGAGTGAGGGCATTTCTGCATTTGTTATGCATGTGACAAGTATCCAATTTCCTTCCTCTAGCGCAGGGACTATAGAGAAGGGATTAGAACCTGCCCTTAAGGGTGATATATATATATAGCAGTGTATATACAGTATAGTAATATGACCCCATGTGAAAACATAAGCACAAATAAAAACCATTATGAGCTCTATCTTTCCTTCTCTTTAAAAACAACCACTATAATGGTAGTGAATCAATGTATTTGTTCTCAATTAATGTTAATACAAGTAAAAGTTTACCTATACCATTCATAAAGCTCCATGACGTAGGTCCCTCCATTCCTGCTTGGTAATGTGGCTGCTTGACCCATGTTCCACACAATCTTCTGCACGAAAAGCCCTATGGAAAAGCCCACACTTTATATATCAGCGTCTAGATTACCCTGAGCGCGTTAAATAGGACTTTCAGATAACCAGACGCATTTAACAAATTGGGTTTTAATGAACCTAATCTGCTACAGTAAGTGTGCAACATAGTGTTGTTAATGTAATTACTCCTAAAGATATCTAACAAGAGACTAAAGCAAAGGAACAAAGCTTCTGCTGGTGTTGGTCTTGTGAATTTCAATAACCACTAGAAAAATAATGAATAGCAACAAATTACTGGTTATGCTTCTATGAATGAAATAAAAATCACAAGTTATATTTGTATGTACCCAGTAATATCAACATACTATCATTTGTTTATTAGACACATACTGTATCGACACCCATTTCACATTAACATAATTCTGCCTTAATGCTGTTGTTCGCAAAACTGGGGACCATGGAGAAAGACAAAAGTGCTTCTAAAAAGCCCTTAAAAGATTTATAGTAATGAGTCCGAAATCCCCCTTTTGACAAATAATCACTGTTGCACTCATTGAGCAAAAAACCTCAACTAATTTATTTTTCTCATTTATTGTTGGCCAGTACTGTTAATAAGCGGCATGGTGGCGCAGTGGCCAGCATTGCTTCCATATCTGGAGTGCTGTCTGCATGGAGTTTGTAAGCTCTCCCCGTGTTTGCGTGGGTTTCCTGCAGCTGCTCCACTTTCTACCCACAGTCTAAAGACCTACTGGTGGGTTAATTGGCTTCTGGGGAAATTATCTCTGCTGTGAGTGTGTGTGCACCTGTGTCTGAGCCTCTACCTTTGATGGACTGGTGTCCCATCCAGGGTGTATCCAGACTTGTACCCAGGATAGGCTCCGACTCTCCCTCGACACTGTGTTGAATAAAGCTGTAAGAATACGGATGAAAGACCTGTTCATCCTGAACCGCATGTGTGCATATAAGCACGCATGTGTGAATGTGATGTCCCTGTTGAAAGGGATATGATTAAAAATGAATGGAAGCACAAACATTTCACTCCGTTCACGACTTCTGCAGTATCTATTTGATCAAAAACAGTCCATTTAAAATAAAGGGAGCAGTGTAAAAGCATAAAATAATTCCAAGGAATAATGTATAAACACTGTGGCTCCTGTTAAGAGATCATTAAAAGTAACAAGCATTGTAATTGATAAATTATATGACTTTGTGTAACACTAACTCCACATTCTGGAGGGGACTCATTTCATCCACCTTGTAGCCACCAGCTAACGGACAAGGCAGAAGACAGAGACCAAATGAATTAACAGGCAGCTGATGTGAATACAGATCCATTCATCCTGTTATCATTACGTGCAATTAAAACATCAGCTTTGATGACCCACAGTGCAGTTTAATAATGTGAATCACCCATTGGCACTATAAAATATGCACTGACTGCTGGAATCTTGATTTTACATTATACAAAAGGAAAGCCTCTCAGCTCATGACCTGATTTCATCAGGCGAAGTGTGGTGACTGCACTCAGAGGGTGAGGGTTTTTTCAGCAACGTGATTTCCCTAGGGAAAACTGATGATCACATGAGCCAGCGTGTTCCCAGTTTTCCAAACAGTGCCACGGGCTCTTTAGTGAGCAAGTAACCAAGAACTTCATTTGACACTTCACCATATTGTGGCATCCATCTGTCCGTCTGTAACTCAACAATCCCTTAGAGCAAAAACGTGTGATACAGGGCACAGACACAGGGGGCAATCTAATAGAGATTCTAATTTAGCTCAACAAGAGGAGCACATAGTGAAAGCCCATGAGGCCATAGACAGGACGTGCAAGCTCCGCACAGAAGGCATCCAAGGCTTGAATCAATCCCAGGAACCACCCCATCAAAAATCAGAAGCCCTTCGGGATCATACGTTCTCACCATAAGTTCTTCACATATACTATGGTAGCTTTCATAATTGATCAATATCATTCAAGTGTGCCTAATAACTAAAAAACAGGAGGTTTGGCGTAACCTACAGACTCAACATGGTTACAGACCCATGCTTGTGATTATGCGTACAGTTGCTGAAGCTGAATTAGTGGACTATAACAGTTTGTGCATGTTACAAGGTTCTCTAGTAGCTGTTTGATTTTGATTTGACTTCTGATTGAAATGTTTTCCATTATTAAAGACTTTAAACACAAAGAGATTCGCATATCGGGAAACTAGGTAGACGGACACTCTTGTCATTACTGAGTTATTGCCGAATAATCCTCAGCACAGCCGAGGAGAAGGATGCAGAAAGCTGACCGGATCCGTCAACTTGCTTTACGGTATAAGGGACACAAGAGGGAGATACAATGTCACTGAATTCGCTGCTTCGTGCATTTCTTGGGACTTTCATAATCTAAAATACAGCTTTAAAATACATTTGCATTGCTGACCTAACATTACAAGTTTAATTTCTCGATGTGCTATCATGCTCAGGTGAACTAAACTGTTACTAATGTTACTAAACAGCTGGCGACTAATTTTTCGCCTCTTTGTAAATCGAAGCTGGTATAAGCAACGGAACTCCTATTCATCCGGGAACAGAAGAGGGTCACGACAACCTGGAGCCTGTCGTAGCAGTGTAGTTTTATTTTTATTCTTTTGTCTTTTCATAGCTCACCTGCTTGGAATATTTTTGGATAGACTATATGTGAGGGCCTGGCTCTCATCCCCCGAAATGCTACAAATAGCACGGAGGCTGGTCCGGTCCGTTTGACATTTCCAGACCATTTGATGATGCTTTTCTTCCAGTAAGAATCCAATATTTTAAAGAAATATTTATTCCCGCTCCCCAAGGAGAGAAAGGAGCGCAAAAGGCGGGCACTTGGAAATAAAGACACACCTGACCAAAGGCAGAGCATACATGATGACAAACATCCGAAACGAGCCGGGACTGAGAAGCCGTGAGGCAGCACCACGCCCCCATACAGTACCTCCCTCAAGGAACTTCCTCTTCTGTAAAACAATAACTAAAGGTTAAGGCAAACCTGCTGAAGCCACACCCTTCACCAGCTAGTCGCAACGAATGAAAGAAGGTACTACCGCAGGAATTAGTCTCCCTGTACTGCACATCCTGGAGCTCTTTGTCATACTGTGAGGAATGCAGCATGAGTGTGAATGAGTTCCGCGCTTTTAGTTTCCAAAAGTAGGCTGATCTGGAGGGGCTGTGTTTTATTTGCATTGACATTAATCGCGGGACTCTGCGGATCAGTTAATTCGACGGGAAAATGGCATCAGTCGAAACTCATCCGGAGAATTTCATCAGGTCTGCTCTGTCGGCCGACGCTGTCAGCCAGCATGAGGACACGAGTTTAGCGCTGCCGACGGAGGAGAAGATCAGGCTGTGCGGCAGCCAGGTCAATGATAGGAACTCCCGAGTACAGCAACAAGTGCAGCTCACAATCAGAAGGAAATCCAGGAGGGGAATTTCCAATGGTAAGAGCTACAGTGGAGTAAAGTCCATACTTGCACTATGTGTCATGAGCTGGTGTGACAAACAACATTGTTTCATATGTTGGACTAAAAGCAATAAGTTTTTTTTTTTTACCTTAATAGCGCCCGAAGCTATTTAGTGCCTTTGTGTCTTACTTGCAAAGACGAGAACTCGTTGCGCTTTTGTTAATGCACATGAGCGACATTCTCCTGTAATTTTGGTATCTCTTTGTAAATAACCTGAAACTCGAGGCAAGTCCTTCTTCTGCGGTTTTTTGTGTGACGGGTTTAGCACCAGCTATTTTACATAAATAAGCATGGCGTGCGAATAATTCATCTGTACAGCAGAGAAGATAGCTCAGCTGTCTTGAATATTTTTAGATAAACTGTGAGCACCGGTCAGCATCACCTAAAATGCTACAAATAGCATGGAAGTCAGTTCAGTCCAAAGAATGTTTGACAAAGCTTTTCTTCCATTAATAATCCAATTTTTTAAGAAATACTTTTTCTCACTCCTAAAGAAGGTGAGGTCTTCTCCATGCATTTTATTCAATGGAATAAGTAATGGGTTTATTCCATGCTGAAAAGAGAAGAAAGAAAACACAACGTTTCGGCAATGGAGCCTTCTTCAGGTGTGAGGCTCAACACAGCATTTAATTCAATAGTTAACTACCTTACAGACATCGCTCTTCTAAAGAATTTGAATTTGAAAAACAGAAAAGTTTCCTTTTCTTTTGTTATGACCTAGTTTAGCAGACACCCCTGGTCTCTAACAAGAGTGCCCTGTGGGTTCGATTTCTGAGGTGCTGTCTGCCTGGAGTTGGCATATTCTCTCTGTGTTTGAGTGGGTTTCCTCCAGGTGTTGCCCAGATACATGCTGGTACTGTAGGTTAATTGACTTCTGTAAAAACTGGCCCTGGTGTGACTGTGGGTGTTCTGCCTTGTGCCCAGTGCTTCCCGAATTGGATAAGAGGTTATTGAAAGTGATGTGTTGGTGAAGTCCAACTTTATTTTCTGTGTCCTTCTGCTGACGGTACTGTTACTGAATAGGATCGGCAAAATTATTTCCTTCTCATCTTTGATTCATAGATCATCGAATGTGTACCTAAAACTAGGTACAGTAAGTGATTCCAGTCGATGCTTTCTTTTTGTGATAGATGAAGAACTGCAGATCACATACTGTATACTGCAGTGTTACAGTATAGATTTCACGGAGGCTTTTAGGGTAAGGAAATGGAGGTCTGGCTGTTCTATAATCCTCAGGCTGTTTACCATATACAGATTTTTACAGTGTCGTTTTGGTGACAGATGTCTGTCTTAGCTCACTTGAGTTCTTTCACATCTTTATAAATACATTTTGTTAAGGGATTGCTAACTTGCCTGTTCCAAATCATCAATGTGCAGGATTGTCGATTTTTTTAGCTAAGTACTATATTATACTAATTTACTATTATTTGGGTACTCCTTTTCCATGTTTTCCATTATTGCTGTTTTTGTTTTTAATTCTGTATTGGATGTTGTTAATTTTTTCCAATCTTTTACTCAAACTTTTCAAGACCAATTACAGAATTATGTAACAATATCTATATTTTTTTATAGATCGTGAAGCATTTTGTTTTGATTTATTCTCTTGTACTTTCGTGTTCATATCCTCTCATGTTGTACCTGTTGTGGATTTGCAATAATTTTTCATTATTGTGTTTGTTGGTTTTCTGTCTTTTCATTCCCCCGTTCTGTGTCAAGTTGCTCAGCTGTGGTTCAGACAGATTCTTGTCTGTCCATCAAGGCGTGCCCTGGACAAAGCCTCGGGTAGCGCGCTCATCATTTAGTTGTGGTGATAACCTCGTCTGTGTGCTGTTCCACATCTTCTTTTCTTAAGCCTGATTGGATATGTTATTGGTGAGGTCTGTGCCAATCCATAGTGACTTCCACCTCACATTTGTTTTTCTCTTTCATTTGTAAAGAGTTTCCTACATCTGTTTTTTGTTCCTCCTCCTCTTGGCTCCTGGAGCAGCTCTTTATGAGGACGCCTGGTGGACAGCCAGGCCGTTTAGGCCCAGGCAATCGACACCTGGCGACAGCAAAAGAGAGTTTCCTCACCTTTCATCCCTGTATTTATATGCCATTCCAAGAATGGAATGTTCAGAGTTTTTTCGGAACTGTTCTTAATTCGCAACTCAGTGTATAGGATTAATCCAAGGGTCCTGTCCTGGTTCTACCCTGCCTTGCGCACCCCATTGCTTTCCGACCCTGTGTTGAAAAAAGCAGTTAGATAATGGATGGCTGGAAAATTGCTGCTGTGAGCTCCTGGGCAGGGATGTCTGCCTGCAAGCCTGCAAGCCCTTGGAGTGACTTGAGGCTGAATTGAACTTACTGTGTTAACAAAGTTCAAAAACGTTTTTAACTTTTCCCTGATCTTCACGTGCTGGCTAGAAGACCATGATCTTCTTTTAATCCTTCCAGGAGTAGAACTGATGAGCCAGGAATTCTACCAAGAACATTTAAAAGACAAAACCCCAAACCTGTGAGTTTAAACGAAGTAAAACAAAACAAGCTCTCTTTGGTGATGCACTGGCATCATGAATGAATTATAATAAAATCATATACAGTACTGCATGCATTATCCCTAGGTTTGTATTGTATTTTATGTGGTATTTGTTATGTATGCGTCATGGATCTTAATAATGATGTGGTTAACACCAATCCAAAAGACAAGTCGTTTCTATTTAGCTCAGATTGTAGAACATGTAGCTTAATGTTGAAATTTGTGCCTTACCTGAATCGAATGTCTCTGGGAATTTAAGGGAAAAAATAAAGATTTTGATCTTAAAAAGCCAGTAATCTCCCAAGTCCCTTGTCTAATGTGGATCTCGTAAAAGAAAAGGTAAATCATCCTATTAAATCTTGCGAGTTTGTTGTAGATTCATGCACCTACCATGTGCAGTTCATTGTATTCCTGTTTTTTATTTGTTGAGTTAATTTCTTAATAAGAAAATATCTTAATCACTTGTCACTCCTTACTGGACAGACATTGGTTGCAGGTTTTTATTAATGTAGCAGCTGAAGTATGTAGTCTAAGAAAGTCTAAGAAATGCTAATCCTTACTACAATTTGCTCACTTTTCAGTCTCAAGGACTAAGCATAAAAAGTAAAGATTGTAGATTTTTTTTTTTAAACAGCTTCCTGACAGTCTGCACTGAAGTGTTTTCCTGGAGCAAATAAAATACAACAGTAGCCTTTTGTTCATTAGAAATAAATTGCAAATTTTATGAGGGCTGAAAACGATGTGTTTTATTACAGTAGTACAGGAAGTGTTAGTATAGTATTGATCTTAATGAAAATAGCCGGTAAACATTGTTTGATAGTCTTGCTGAAATGAAAGTTGCGAATTGAAAGTGATAAGCAGCTACAGATAACAGTTACTGTACTGAGGCAAGTTCCTATACCCCAGTCCGGTGATTCTCAAATATAAATATTATATTTCCCCCTACACGTCTTATAAATATTGGTTTGTGTAGCACTACTGTAGCATGAAAACCCGTAAAGATTCTTCAGATTTGCTCAGTAGCCAAATATACTGTATTACTCATGTATTTTTTTAATGTGGTTTTGATATGAAATCTTTAATTGCAGGGTCTCTTCAACAATCCAGCAGTTTCTCAGAAAACCGTTCCAGATCCGAGTATGAAAAGGAATCACTAACCAAATCAGAGAAGGTACCGATCAAAAGCTTTTATCATTGTCTTTGCCTACGTGAACATAGAGAATTTAATGTGGTGAACATTTTTTCGGAAGAAAAAGTTTTTTTGTTCTTATCGCAGCTTTGACTGTAGCCTATGTATACTAATAACTATGAACTGCAGATTTTAGTTAACCAGGTGTCTCTCGCCTTGTCTACATTTATTAATATTAACAGTTTTTAGTCCATTTGAAATCATCCGCCTTCATTTCCAAACTTTATACAACTGCAAGACTGAATTACACCCATGTTAACAAAGATGACTCATCTTTCAGCAGGATCCCTAATGGAAGTAAAACTATGCAAACAGTTTTTCTGAATGCTGCATATGCAAATGTGTTTTTCACAAATGTGATATGCACATAACTCGTGCTAGCTAGTCTACATTCATTTTGTAAAGGACATCAAGATGTCCTGTGACAGTTTTTGTATTTTTCAGAAACAATTGCACAGCAAACACGAGGAAGTTATTTTCATTTCAATATAAGTACCGACCGTAGGAAATGAGTATCGCCCTTTTATCTTAGCTTCACAATCATGTTGTAATTCATGATTTAATTTTTGGGTCTCAGGTGAGTTAAATCCCTTATTTGCATCCTCTTAAAACGCCATTAAAATTGCAGGGATGAAATTTTTCCTTCAGGTGCTCAGATGATGAGTAATGGCCCTGATTATTTAACACAGTATTAAGTAAGGAAAGCTGTTGAGACAGCCATATTTAGCAACATGTCACCAGACAATGAACACTGTGCTGTCAGGTTCTTTGCTGGATTTTTGCCCTTAGTGATATGGACCAGAGAAGACAGTCTCACAGTCGTAAAGGCTTCGTGAAGCTGTTGCTAACAAATAGTATTGCTAATCTCTTCAGAAAGGAATTGCAACAATTTTGTTAGTATGCTGGAAGATATACTAGGAGCCTGCTACACCATAGCACCAGGCTGAGTGCTCTTGGTGTGAAAATATTCCTCACTGGCACTGACGGGAATGTGGAGCTCGGACTTGTGCGTGTTTGGAAAGGACAAACAAAGTCAGCTTTCTAATCCAGTTCCAAAATGTAATAAATTGGGAGATGTTTGAAATACGTAAGAAGAATCTTGTGCGTGAAAATCCAGTCTGCCTGGCCTGCCTGGTTTCTTAATACCTACCCATCTTTAATTTCTTTCACGAAAAAGCTGTCTCCAGCTTACATCACAAGAGACAAGGTTTCTGTCTGTTTGCTGCCATTGTGATTCACCACAAGGCAACAAAACGTCTAATGATACGAAAGCAGCCCTATCACATTGTAAACATGCTTTAGACCAAGCAAATTCAGCTACTACTGTATATTAAAAGTAAATATTTTCATTAAACCGACACATACAAGGCGACGTGCTTTTTAGATACCTTTAAGTTTTGCAAAAAAGAGCTACCTGCCAACCAACTCAGATAAACTCATCATAATTTCTATAGTTTCTCATTTGCTTGCAGTTGCTAAGCAAATGACTGCTTTTGTGTCACAATTTGAGCAAACCCAGACGCCAGGGTGACACCCCTACTCTTGTCGAGAAACACCCTGGGATTTTTAATGACCACAGAGAGTCAGGACCTCGGTCTCATCTGAAGGATGGTGCCTTTTTACTGTGTCCCTGTCACTATACAGGGACATTAGGATCCACACAGACCGCAGGGTGAGCGCCCCCTACTGGCCCCACTAGCACCACTTCCAGCAGCAACCTTAGTTTTCCCAGGAGGTCTCCCACCCAGGTACTGACCAGACTCACACCTGCTGAGCTTCAGCAGGGTGATATGGCTGCTGGCTGTTTACTATAGATTTCAGTTCTGTACAAAGTTAGGACAATATTTATTCCAGTGCTCTATGTGCTTGTCTGCATGACATCTCAGTGGGCCTTAGAGTGTCATAGTATTAAATAAGACTACTTCAAAACCATCCAGGGTCCCTTTTGGCTAAAAAATATCCTTTAATAAATCTGTTACTACTATATTCTGCTGATGCAACGTCAATGTCGTGTCATTCCTCTTATTTAACACTTATTAAGACGCATTCCTAGACTGATGATAACAATAATAATAATTATAAACTTTATTTTAGATGGCGCCTTTAAAGGTTGCTTCTCAAAGCGCTTTACAGAATGACAAAAGACGAAAAAAAGTAGTAATATTAATGAGTTGCTCTTGTGACTGCCAGTTTAGTGTACTGCAAGTGTACTTACATTTTTGTAACACAAATGCACGTTTTGCAGCTACGTTCCACTGTGGGCTATGAGAATGGCTTCAGTACTGGAAGAGCGTGTTCCTCCGGCCAGGTGCTGAAAGAGGGCACGACGCGGCCGTTCATGAGAGTGGAGGTTTCGCCGCAGTCCAGCCCAGAAGTGCCGCATTCCCGGTTAGCCCAGTCGAGCCTCCACTACAGGATGGGGCACGGGGGGGTGCACACGCTGCCGGCGAACCAGGTCTTCCTGAACCGCACATCCGAACTGAACCGAGCGCAATCCGTGGGCGCTGCTCAGCGCTGCTACGCCCATTCGGAAATACTGAGCAGCCGGAAGCCCAGCATGGCCCGGGCCAAGCACCTCAGCAGGAGCCAGTATCAGAGAGGGAGGCCCGGTCCACCCTCGGATGATGGGGTCTTCCTGCCCAATTTCTCCGTGGCGGCCGAGAGCCAGAGGCCCGGCACCAGCCACAGCATTCCCAACGTCCTGGAGGTGGCCAGGCCGGGAGCCAGCATGCGGCAGCACTGGCGCCACGGATCCGCGCTCCACGCCCATCAGAGCACGTGGAAGCAAACCTTCGTCCAGCGGGAGAGCAGCCAGCGGCGGAGTACCAACCGCGGCTCCGGCCCCTCCTCGCTGATCAGCATGGAGCTCGATGGGAACGCCAGGAGCGCAGCTGCCGCTCAGGAAAGAGCCACCGGAGCCGAGATCCTGAGGAGATCTGTCAGCGAAGTGAAGGCGCAGTAGGTTTCTTGAACTGTCCTGCAGTGAGCATTATGTATAAAAAAACATCTACAGCATTTTTTTGTAGTATTGGGTTTCAGGTGTGATCCCAGGAGTTTCCATACAGATTTTGCACTCCACCACCTAGAGGGTACAAGTGGAAAGTATGTGAACGTGCGTTTAAAACTGATCACATTTAAAAACAGGCACGTTTTCCCCAAAGGGTCGTGGGAGTATGTTGCAGACTGTTGTGGCCGACTCGAAATGTTTCATTTGAGAAACGGCTGGATGAACAATTCATTACTATTGAATGGGCTAGAAGGGCCTAATGGCTTCTCTTCATTGGCCTTCCTTACGTTCTCCTGCAGATCTGAACCTTTGCCTTTGTTGAAATCCTCAAGTTCTTATTTAAATCTATTCTTTCCATTCTATCTGATCTGTTCTGCAAGAGATATCTGCTTTTGCAAATATTTTTAATACAGTTTATAACAATTAAATGTAGCCTGTAAGGTGTTAAGGTGTTTATTATAAATTACTCATTAAATTAGGTTTTACCACATGACCTTTTACTCTCAGTTCTGTTTCAGCGCAGTATATGGTGAGTGTTGTTTTATGGGGGACAAAGCCCTATTATTTGATATGCCTGGACAGTAATAGGATCTTTGAATAAGGAGTAGGCAAAACAGACACACTCACATAGCCATAAGATAAACATAAGTGCTCTTTATGTAAAGTCTGTGAGACAATATGAATCAAGAACACAAAATATAACTTAAGCTCTTCCATGAACGTCTAACTAGACGTCTTCAGTACTTCTCTAAAGTACAGCAGGGAAGCTAAGCTGGTTTCAGTCATAAACCACTTCTCTCATAAACTTGTTTTTTTTTAAAGAGTTAGACTCAGGGAATTCCAAACACTCCCACTTTTAAGCCCCCTGGATGATCGCTTTCTTCTGCTCCTTCAGTTATGGTGCAACACAAATCCGGGATCCGCTAGCTCCCGTGACCTCTTCCACTCACTGGTTTTAAGTGTCAGCCAACCAATTGTTTTTCTCCAAGAAGTCAGGTGACTGAGGACAGCAGGTCATTCCCTATTACCTTCTGGGAAATATAGTTCAGACAGATTCTTATGTCTTATGTTGGCATACCGTATGTTAAGAATCAAAATGATCTCTTTTTCATTGTGGATAATTATTTGAGAATATTCCAAACTTTAAATAATTTCTGGTTTCTCATAGGAAGGCAGAGGGACAGATAACTGAGCTGACAGTGGATAAAGCAGTGAATCTTCTCACTCATAGAAGCATAGAGATGCAGATTTCTGCTGCCAACGTCATCCAACATCAGTGCTTCTTAAGCAGTGAAGCTAAGAAAGTGGTAAGATATTTTGTGTGTTTGTGTGTTGCTCATTGTGTGTTTCTCATGGGCATGTTCTTACAAGTGTATTCTAGCTGCTTTTCAACAGGTATGTCACAAAATGCAAATTTGAAATGTGTGCATACATCTATAATCTTAATAAAGTCTATAACAATGTTTGCCATTGTTATCTTCTTTCAAAAATACCAATTGCATTGCATCTGAAGATTTATTTATAGCTAATCACGCAGGCAAAAATATGTATTGGCTAATAAGACAGAAAGCACACTGAAAACTTCTAACAATGCAGTTTTTGAGCAAACAACTTTTGGGCAGAAATAAGACAGTCTTAAGCTGGAATAGTTCACAGAAAATTCTGAATTCAAACAGTATTGAACTACAGGGATGAAGAATGGGCTTTAAAGGTAGAGCTTACAATTAGTGAAATAAAAGCTATGAACACAGCAGAAGTATAGAAATCACAGCCATTCAAGAGCTAAAGATTACAGTTTGAACTGAGACTAGGGGAGGCTCAAGAAGGAAGTCTGACATGGTGCAGTCCTGATCTTTCCAGATATCCTGTTTCAGCAACAGGGGAAGAAGAGAGGAACAAATGCAATAGGCAGGAAATTGAAGAAAAGGAAAAACCAAGCAGCCAGCAGAAGATCAGACGAGTTTATGGAATTCAGGGGTATAAGGAGAGGAAAGGGTTTGGGGGTGGAAGAGTAACAAAGGAAGAGAAGATATAGGTAAGGACAGGCATCTTAAAGTGAGCAGTCCAGCCAGTGAAGAGGGTTATCATAGAAGACACCAGGCAGAGAGAAGGATAGGCAGGTCTCTGGAAGAGCTGAAGAGGCATGCAGTGTAGGGGAGAGCTGCAAAGGAAACAAGGTTTTGCATTGTTGAAGACTTTGTTTAGAAAAATAAGTATCGGGAAAGAAATGTGCAGGGGACAGCAAAGCAAAAAATCAAGGATTTAACACAAAAGCTCTTAATGCAGATTGCAGGTAAAGAGAATGAAAAAGAATGGGTCCTGCTACTGATACCTGGTGAACACCTGTAGATAGAGGGAGGCAGGCTGAAGAAAGAGAACCACACCATGAGAATTGGAAGGAGCAGTTGGAGAGCAAGACAACCATTGCAGAGAGTGTCTGGAATCTGGAATCTGGAATCTGAGTTTCAGAGAGTGAAGAGTGAGAGTTTTCAGGCAGTGGATTGTGAGGAAGAGTGTTGGAAGCTACTGAGAGGTCATTATGGGTGACGAACAGTCAGTACCAGGTAGAGTGTGACCAAAAGAGTTGTTTTTGCTGAGAAGA